ACCACGATGTTGTGGTGTGGGTGAGAGATTTGTGCCAACAGATTGGCGTGGGAAACACTGAAGGATTGCATTCTCTTCAATTCAATTACTTACGATTCAAAGTTCTTCATTACTTCCAACTATGCCGACCGACCTCCCGCCAACGCCGTCCTCCAGATCGATCTCCGCCTATGCCCTCCACCGCGACAGACTGTGCGTGAGCCCCTTTCTGCAGCTTATCCACCCATGCTCATTGTAGCACAGAGAGTACCATCTTACCGTTCGCCAGGAGCCCAAACAGGCTCGTATGTGCGGTGTCGGCGGCAAGGCCGACAGACGCCCCATCGACCCCCCTCCTATCGTCCAGCTCCGTGTCGTCGATCCTGCTGTCAAGATTCGCGCGAGGAGGCGAAGACGCAGGCGGGAAGACGGCAGCGAAGGCGAGGGCAATGCCGATGACGAGGATGATGGGTGTGTGCGTTCGGCCGATTGGATTCGTGTGATGCTGAGATTTGATGATAGAGAGCTCGAGCCCCCCGCCGATCTGGCGGGCTACGCCCAGAGTTTTTTGCAGAATCCGTATTATTTCATGTTTGCAAGCCTTGCAAAGCCGGACGATGATAAGGAGCTTCATTGGCTCAAGGTGGGGCGTTTCTTTTATTGTCTATTCTCGCTGATGATCTGCTAGGATGGCCGCACGCGATGCACGACAGGCTCTGTCGTCTCGTCTCTTTACCACCTCAAAGACCCTCACAACGCCAATGAAGGTACGTTTTTCCCTTTTTCTTCTTCACGAGCAATAACCCACCCCTTCCAGACGCAGGCTTCTTTGTCTTCCCCGATCTCTCTGTGCGCACCGAAGGCTCCTATCGCCTCAAACTCTCTCTTTTTGAAGTGGTCGGCAATCAAGTCCGCCACTGCAAATCCATCTACTCTGCCCCATTCTACGTCTACACTGCCAAAAAGTTCCCGGGCATGGAAGAGAGCACGCCCTTGTCGTGTTCCCTTGCCGATCAGGGGATCAAGATCAGGATTAGGAAGGATATTAGGGTTAGGAAAAGGACCGGGGGTGAGGCGCAGGTGCAGCCGCAGCCGCAAGGAGGTACGACGTCTGTGATCGGCGCTCAGCAGACCTTTGGAAGTGGTAGTGTGGACGATAACGACAACGACGACATCGAACATGATCGTGAGTGGGACACCACCCGCACCCGCAGCCGTTCTCATCGACACCGAGACGACATGGCCATCGACAACGACAACGACGAAGACGAAGACGACGACGACGAAAACGACACTCCCACTCGGTACACGCCCCGCACGAGTACGAGCACGCGCAACGCCTACCCACCCCCACCCACGCGCACGTACACCCCCACCCACGTACACCCTCCCTTGCGCCGCGCGCTCCCACATACCGCAAGACCCTCCTCACCCGTACGCCGCCCCAAGCGTTCACGCATCGACGACGGGGCCCATACACCCACCATGCCCGCTGGACACAGTTCACCACCACCGCCACCACCATCATCATCTACAAGTCTATCCACGTCCCGCTTGTCTTCCACGTCTGCGCCGTCTACGCCTCGGTCTGCGGGCGCGGGCCCAGCACCGCCACTACCAGGGGGAGGCACATCAGCAGGCCCATCAGCAGGACCACCCACAGGAGCCCCAGGAGCCCCCACAGGCTTAGGAACCGGCATCCCGCTCGTTGGACACCCGATCCCGATCCCGGTGCCGCAGCAGCATCCTTGGCCGCCGCCTACGGGCGCTCTAGGGGATCTGGCGATGGGGCCGGTTATTCCGCCGCCGGCTGGAGTTGGTGTGGCGGGCGCGAGTGCGGCGCAGCCGCAAGGAGGGCAGCAGGGGCCGCAAGGGCCGCAAGATGCGGTGTATGTGGGGTATGAGCACCCGCAGCAGCAGCAGAGTCAGTATGTGTATCAAGGTCAGGGTCAGAGCCAGCAGCATGTCCATCCTCCTCCACATTTGCAGCCCCCACCACACGTACATCCACATCCTCATGCACATGCACTCCCCCCGCCGCCACCGCTCCATAGTTCTCATCCGCAGTATTACGCACCCGCGACGACACAACCACCGCCACCGCCACCCTCGCAACAACAACAACAACAACCGCCACCACAAGCACCGACGACGACGACGCCGTCTCAAACATGGGCACCACCACCACCGCCACACACGCACCCGCACCTGCCGGTATACGATCCCTACGCGTATGGTATGCCTCCTCCACAGCATCCACACATACATTACGCGCCTGCACCGCCCCCGCCGCCTGCGCATGCGCATGTGATGATGCCCCCGCCGCCCCCGCCGTCTCATCCTCATCCTCATATGCACCCCCATCCGCATGCGCCACCGCCCCCGCCGTCTCACCCTCATCCTCATATGCACCCGCCGCCTCACCCGCATGCACATGTGTACGCCCCGCCGCCCCCGCATGCGCACGCGCCGATGGGGTACGCGTACGCTCCGGCTCCGCAGGGGCAGGGGTATTACGATCCAGCGCCGGTGCCGGTGTCGTATCCGCCGCATGGTGAGGACTCGGTGGGTGGTGGGAGTACAAGTCCGAGTGCGGGTGCGGGTGGGAATACGAGTGCGGGTGCGGGTAGACAGACGCCCTCGCCTCCAGCACCAGCTCCTGCTCCAGTGTCGATGCCGATGCCGATGCAGGGAATCCCAGTGTCTGTGTCGCCGCCTGCGGGTGCGGGTGTGGTGTACCCGGCTCCTGCGCCGCAGGGGCAAGGGGAGTATGGAGGGTATAGGGCGCCGTCGCCGGTGAGGTATGTGCAGGGGCAGCCGTATTATGCGCATGCGCATCAGGGAGCGGGAGGGGGAGTGTATGGGCATCAGCAGCAACATCAGCAACACCAGCAGGTACAAGTGTCGTACCACCACCATCCCCAGCAGCACCAGCACCAGCAGCAGTATATGCCTCCTCCGCCCCCGCCTATGCATCAACACCAACATCAACATATGCAGTTACAACCCCCGCCTCCACCTCCGCCCCCGGCACCGCAGCAGCACCAGCACCAGCACCAACAGAGGATGTACGCCAGCACGTCTACATCTACGTCTCCGCCTCCGCCCCCTGCGTACGGGTACACATCCGCATCCGTCCCACCCGCGCCTGCGTACGCACCTCCGCCTGCGCCAGGGCCTCCTCCGCCTGCACCCGCGCCTCCTGCACCCGCGCCGGGGCCGGGGTCGGAGACGTGGAGCAGCCCGCCTGCTGTGTCCGCGCCCGCACATGTGTGGGATCCGTATCATTCACAGCAGGGACAGCAAGGGCAGGGGCAGCAGGGGCACTACCAGTCACATCAGCAGTCGCAGTCGCAGTCGCATAGTGGGGATCGGATACAGCTTGCGCCGCTGAGAGGAGGGGAGGGCGTGTATTCTGGGGCTGGGTCTGGGTTTCCAGGGGGATGGGAGAGGGAGAGGAGGGCGAGCGCGAGTGCGAGGGACAGGGAGTGGGACAGGGACAGAGAGAAGGAGAGGGAGTGGGAGAGGGGAAGAGAAGGGAGGGAGAGGGAGAGGGATTATGGAGGTGTGTTGAGTAGGAAGAGAAGTAAGGATGAGAGGGAGGATGGGAGGGACAGGGATAGAGAAAGTGGGAGGGACAGGAGGGACAGGGACAGGGGAGATATTGTGGAGGGAAGGGAGAGGGAGAGAGACAGGGAGAGAAGAGGTGGGGAGATGCAAAAGAAGAATGTGTTGAGTATCGGGAGTATTATCTCGGATGAGAGTGGGTAGAAGGAGAGGGGGTGTGGGTTGGGTTTTTTGCTCGCCCTCCTCGAGCTGTCTCTATGGTTTGCGTTTTGTGCTTTGTGCTTTGCTTTCTCCTCGTTCTCTTGTACGCGTACCCTGTGCTTTTTTGTATCAACCGGATCTTTGGTTTGTATTTCCGTTGTCTGTCTGGGTCCCTCCCTGTCTTTTTACCCGCGATTCGTTCGTACGACCGCCTTCGTCTTTCTTTTAATCGGTATTCTCGAATAAATAACCACCTAAATGTATGTGTAGTATGTGTCTTGTCTATTTTTCCTTGGCTTTTTGTGTGCCACGGACGTATGTGGACTAGGTCTTGTTGAAAACTGATTACCATCGCGCGTTTCCTCGGCAAAGTTAAGATGTGTTGGCTTTGGTGGTTATGAGGGTAGGTCCTGTTGTGAGGTTGTTAAACAAGGGTCGATGGCGTAGTTGGTTATCGCATCTGTCTAACACACAGAAGGTCCTCAGTTCGAACCTGGGTCGACTCATGAAGTAGAGAGATTATCATTTTTCACGAAATTAATGGAAGAGTTGCGGGTCGCGTTCTACTGAGTGGATTAGTCTCTTCGGGACGCACTCATCCCCACAACTTACAGGTGATCATGAGTGTGGGTAGTACCGCCACAACTTATTAGTTTCCTCTTCACGCGACCTCAAATTTCAGTTTTGTATTACCCCTCCGCATCCCTGTATTTCATTCATGTACAGATAGCCTTACCATAGCGGAGAGACAATCCTAACCGGGTCTGGGACTGGCCCTAGGTTTTCTTGAAGTTTTTATTCATAATACGGGTCGATGGCGTAGTTGGTTATCGCATCTGTCTAACACACAGAAGGTCCTCAGTTCGAACCTGGGTCGACTCATGATTCTTCGGTATCTTTGATATTTTTCGACTAGCGCTACGAAAATTTTTGGTAGAGACCTCTTGGCCTGCAGAGCTGTTGAGTCCATGGGTCCCAACCATGTCCGGCAGATATAAATGAGAACTACGAGGAAATTGTTTTATGCACGATGTGTAGGCGCGGCTGTCATCCAGAGTGACCTCCCCTCCTCAATTGCCCTCGATTGCGCCCTACTACCCCACTAAAACTCCGCCTGGTGCCGCTTGTTGTGACGGCGAGATTTCTCCTCAAGATCCCCGGAGTCTGACCATGTCATCTGGTCATGCTCATTCTATCAGTTCGTCTTAAAGCTATCCCTCTCGAGGAGGACCATTTATTGCAGGTTCCTGTAGTCCCTCTTAGCTCAGCGGTAGAGCGCTTCACTAGTAGAGCGGGTATAATCATGCTCCATATGAAGAGGTCAGTCGTTCAAGTCGGCTAGAGGGAAATACTTGCTACTCGAGGCTTTGAATTTTTTATTGTCTACCACTTCCGACTCTCTGAAATGGATTCTTCACGTTTTTCTTTCGCAAATGTATATGGCTTTCTGGTTCAGAAGCGCGTTATACTAGGACATGAGTCAGTCTCGTTCTGAAGCATGCGTACGACTCTCTGAAATCACGCGAGTTTACGAGTCCTTCGACAGATACATTGAAGATTAATTATGTACAACATTCTCTGAGAAGAGTCCATGGTATACAAACTTCATGGTATCCAAGCTTCCGTGATATCCTGCAAAGGGAACTGAGACCATGCACAAGCATCCTCACAACCGCGCCACTGCAGCCACTCGGAATACATGTGCCATGGGGAACCCCGTGTCCTACCACAGCTGAGACGTTGCGCAAAGGCAAACGGTCAGGCAGGCCAATGTATCGCATTGTTGGCGGGATACCAGGATGAAGTTGCTATCCAAGTGTCATTTCTGTTCAAAGGATAGAACACGATAGAAGATAAGAAAGAATGGGAGAGGGTTTCTTGATGAAGAGGGGTACGTGATCTAATGTCGTTGACCTCTAATGTCGCTGATCTAGCAACACGTGATATAGCATGAGGTAATGGAGAGTAGTAGTAAAGCTTCAAGGCCGTGTCAAGGTAAGTAGAGTAATTTCATTTCGATGGATCTGTTCTTTTCTTGCGGGCAGTGGCGATAGAAGTTGATAAGTTAGCGACGCCTAGTCCGGTTAACCACGTAGAAGCGAATGACAAAGAGACTTCAACCAGACCTCTTTTGTGCCCCTACGGCCGTCCCATAGTGCAATTTCGCGTCATATAGCGATAGAGAACCGTTCTTTCCTTGGCCTCAGTGTGTTAAGCAAGTCCAGCAAACCACGTGATGACCGGAAGCGGAAGGACCCTCAAAATCGATCGTGACGGAAGCTATGTCCGCCCTTCCATCTATCACACAATGCGGACTTGATACCGAGGGGTGCAGTGTTTGGACACATCTGCTGAAAGCAGAAGAGAAAGCTTCCTTGGACCCCTCCCGCTACATTGCCGCCAGATATAATGATCCTCTTGTGGCAGTTCGAACCGTCGGCTTCTTCTTGCAAGACTTTTGGGAGCATTCCAGTGATGGTTCTTTGGGGTCCACGCTTCCATATCTCCGTCTACTCCGCGACATCAGATCATGCCTCGAATACATGCATGAAGACGAGAGATACGATGCCATTATTCAGTTGGGTCGTTTATATCAGGAGTACTTGATGCGCGCGTGTGAGTCTTATAATTGTCTTCTGTAATATTCTGCATGAAATAAGCGGTATCCAATTCGTTCTAACGCAGGAGGGAAACCTACACCGTCGCATCATCCATCTCGCCCATCGTTCGACGTTCACAGGAACCGGATTCTGGATGAAGTAGACAAAAGCGCGCAGACAAGACACAACGTCAGGAAACAGGTATTTCGTCTCTCAGGTGTCTATGTTTGCCTTTAGCTTATCTCTCAGGCCTTGCTCCGTGATGGGTATAGATGCACTCTCACTGGCCTTTATGATATGGAGTCTTGCAAGGCTATGCCAGAGATCGAGCAAGCCCGCTTGGAATCCGCCAAACCTTGTGCTTTTTTGGAAATGGCCCATATTTTCTCCGAGAGTACTCAAGACGACGACAAGGTCAGTACTCTTTTGTTATGGGAATGCTTCTCTTACTAGTCATTTGAAAGAATCATGCAGCGACAATCTTTGCAATCCTTGATCTGTTTGGCCTCAAGGAAAGAACAAAGAGTCTGTATGGTAGGGGAACCAACGAGTTACATAATGTAATAACTATGGCAGGGGAGTTGCACACTTGTTTTGATCACTTCGAACTTTGGCTTGAGCCAGTACATAATGAGGTATGTCCCTTAATCAACTTGCTACTCTTCTTTCAAGTTGAATTGTTCCAGGACAATACCTATGATATCCGTTGGAGTCCAGGTGTTTCCTGCCTACTAATCCGGTCTCACTTGCCCGACCGTGTCACATTCAGAGTCGAGCCTGGGACTGCAGCAGCTGCAGCTGCCAAGGGTAAGCAACTCAAATTGCCCGATCCAGTCCTCATTGCCATTCGTGCTGCATGCACGCGTGTTGCCAATCTTTCCGGGGCTGCTGAGCAAATTGGAATTTTGAGGGACAGGGAAGAAATGCCAGTACTGGCGAATGATGGGAGTATGGCTGAACTTCTTTCTTCATGCTTAATGTTCACATCTCAAGCTGCCAATGTTTCTCTGCATGGTATAACAAGCTAGTCTTCATATGGGACTTGTGTTATCAATAAGACAAGAAAGCATAGGCCTCATAACCTTGGCAGTATGTTGGTCAATACTTGTAGCATGTCTGTCATTGCAATAAAGATATGGCATATGAAAGATGGTGAGTCTAGATCCTGATTCTTGCATTTTCAAGATTGGTATTCATACACCCTGAGTGTGTATAAAATGCTTCTTCACATTTATTTGGCAGTGTCTCATTGCTGATGTTGATGTTGATGAATCTTGTTTGAACCTTTATCAATAGTGGCATGAGACAGTGGTTCCATGTAGCAAATCACCTATCATTTAACAATGGACATTTCCCACCCTCTTTGGAATCATTGTCACCAAATTGCATTGTTGTCTGATGCCAGAGCCAGAAAAGTATAGAAGAGTATAGGCTCAATGATCCTTCTGCTTAAGATGAGGTGATGTCTTCTGGCATTCATTGAGGCTTTTTGATAAGGCAAGGTGAAGGCTGATCCTGCCAGAAATGAAGCCTATGGTGGCACTGGACCTGCTCATAGTGGCCAGATCTGGTCATTAAGATGGACCTGCTGCTGGTATTCTTTCTCCTTGCTTCTTTGTCACTGCTTCCTCTTGCTTCCTGTTCTATGCTGCACTTGTATGTGCCTTTGCTTTGCTTTGCAATTGCACAATGGCTTCTTTGTTGGGTAGCTTCTCATTTGAATTTGCAGAGCCTCATCTGAGAAACTTCTCCTTGCCTCAAAGAGAAGCTTGTCATACTCCTTTCATAAATCATTCTATGTACAGATGGATTTATGAGACTTTACTATAAGAATTGTAGTTCAGATTGCACAACTGTTTTTGACTTGTGTACTGTGAGCTGTGAGAACCATAACAGCAACATCACATTTTTTTAAATCAAACCATTGACTTGCACTACAAAAGCAAACCTCTGGAGGCTGTGGCTCAATTACACAACAGGTAGAGGGAGATCCAAAGAAAACATGTCTAGAGATTCCTATGCCAAGCATGATGCTTCAGAGGTTTGAGAAGCATGGGAAACAGCTGTACAGTATGGCAGAAAAGATGTACAGTATGGCAAAAGAGAGAGAGCAAGTGATTTGTCAGCACTTAGTCAGCAGTAACATAAGCCAGTGGCAGTATCAAAGGACAACACTTGTTGAAATAATGCACAGAGGTGCAGTATGAGGGTTGAAACTAGAACCAATAGATAAGGAAAAGAAAGGAAAATAAAGAACAATTATAAGGAGGAGGACCAGAGAAGAAATGGAGGGGGAAAAGAGGTGAGTTAGTGAGTTAGTTCTCTGACAGCTCCCAACAGTCACTCCTATCAGACTAGCTCCTGCTCATCTAAGTGGTGTTGCCACTGGAGGAATGAGAGTGTTCTTTGATAGACTGTATCTGAGGATAGAACCTGCAGTGCAGTTGATGCTTGCAGATAAAGGGAAAAATACTTTGTATGTGCCCATGCTGGTGTGGACTCAGATTCTTCTCAGTGAGCATGGGAGAACCACAAACATCTCCTGCATGACTACACTGTTGCAGCATAGTACTGGAAACCCACAAGGAATGAGACTAATCTCCAATTTGTGCCTGCTTCAAGTAGTCTGAGAATCAGGACATCTGTGTTCATCAAGACAATCCCAGAGGATGTCATCAAGACTTTGGACATGGATGCTGAGGCTCACCCAAATGAGATTCTCTGGTGGAGGGTCATGGCATTCTGGCAAAACCAAGTTGAGGTTCCTAAGACCTCAATATGAGCTCATTCAGTTGTCACTTCAGGAAATGTAGCGTGTTTCCTGAGAAAAAGGTGTCAGAAATATGTTTTTCAATTTCTGACACCTTTTTCTCAAGAAACATGCTAAATTTTGTGTCAGAAAATTTCAATAAATATATTAAATATTATCTTAATGTTTCTTTCGTAGAATGATAAATTTTTCCGTGTTTTTTCCGAAGAAACAATCCTCAAAATATTTGAAATGTTCTCGATGATTTTCTTGAGAAACACGTGATATGTTTTAGCACGTGTTTCTCAAAAAACCTTTGTCCTGTTCTTAGTTTGTATCTCGAGAAATACTCTGTATTCTTCTCGAGAAACACGTGTCGGCATAACGTATGATATTTCTCAAGAAACACGCAATAAAAAAATGTAATAATATTATATAGAAACAATATACAGAAACACGTGTCGCGTCGCTCAGCGCGCGACCGTCGATTCGCTCATCAAGACGCTTAATACGTACTACTGAGTCGGTAACATAGTGTACAAAATTATAGACTCCCAACAAACTCCAAGAAACAGATGAACAACAGCTGAAGTCAAGAAAAATGAGGGCTAAATCAGCAGGACAGACAGGGCATCGACTTACAAGGAAAATCATCAAAATCAATCCGATCTACAAGCCTCTCGAATTCGAATTCGCCGGCCGTGGACAGCGCGCGGAATGCTATACGGTCGGTAACGAGCAGATCGAGATTTCGTGCGGCCCAAGCGCTGCGCAACTACCTGGGACAGCGTCGTTGTGCATGTCTGGTTGACTCTTGATTGGTTGGACGGCGTCGTCGAGGGGGGTTCGTCAACAACGATGAGTTCCTGTGTCTGGTTGAGGATCGGTTGGTCGTCGTTGCGCTCCAGTTTGACGACACAAGACAAAGACTCGCGCGCCTGAAGCTTGTTAATTCTGTGTAGTCATAGAAAAATCTCAACACTGACCTGTGACAGATGG